ATTGTTCAGGTGTTCTTTTATGAAAAAGGCTATCTATTCAGGTGTTGGAAATGCTCTCTTTAATCAGAAGCCTCTACTGTGATTGCAGAAGAATATACTAGGCAGTAGATGGCAGGAATCCAAAACAGGTCAGACACACTTCTGCACTGCTGTGTGCTGTACGTACACCTACCTTCTGCCTGCTTTGATATTTACTGGGTATTATATGCCATGTGAATCATCAACAAACATTGCTACCTGTCCTCCTTCCTACTCGTGGTACTAACCAGGTCATGGCTATAAGCACAGTGATAGCAGTGTTCTTCAGGTCTCATTCCCCCTACACCATGGGAGTGGAGGTAGCGCAGCTCGGCTGTTGCATGGTGGTGGTCTCTTAGATCAGGGATTCACAGCCCACCAGCACTACTTGCCTTGCCAGGACGACCCTGGCTTGCATTCCTTCCGAGTAGCCTCCTTATTCCACACTGCATCTGGGGAGAAGGCTGCAGAAGGACCAGTTCTTCACTGTTTCAGTTTGCCTGTGACTGTACTGTGGTTTGCATGGGCACAGTGCAAATGTTACGCTTCTGAGTGTCAATGAAACACCCTAGGGAGCATCTGGCTTGCTGTGCAAGGACACCCAGCCTATTGGGGTAAGGTCCATAATGTACCTATCTTGACAGTGTGTTATAAAGGTCAGGCACCCTGCTGAGCTTACTTCCTCTAGGTCAGGACTACAGCTTCTCTTCCCCTGCATGGAGGCCACTGAGTACATGCTGTGCATGGCTGAGCTTTGAATGATACAGGCTGTCCCCACCTCCACAACACCTTGTTCAGCGCAGGTCTGACATGAAAGCTATCTGCTTACAACCAAGTTTGTCCAGCCTGCTTTCCCAAGCTTGCAATTCTGAATTTGCGTTTAGATGGGATCAGTTTTAAGCACAAAGAAAAGAAGCCTTTGTGGACTTTCAATGTTTGGAGTGGTACTTCCCTGGGACATTGGTTTGTAACCTCTCGGAGATGCTGTAAGGATGCCAGGTATGTCCATACTTTGTGTCACTGGCATGTGATGACTCCTGAAGCAGAGTTGCTCCCCAGGTAGGCAACTGACCAGGGAGCAAAGTGGAACCAGCGACCACACAGTAAGAAAGCCAGATTTTACTCTCCCTCTCCAGGAGGAGGAGACCCCTGGAAAGAAGGGATCAGACCAGGCCCCAGTGTGGGAAATGCGGCCACTTTGTCCTTTCTGCAGCAATACACTACACCCCCGACAGGGAAGGTGACTGTGTGGAAGGCAATGCTGTTGCTGCTGCACCTTCTAACGAAGCAGGAATCAGGGTCAAAGCCAGGTGCCTGCACAAGCGTTGCTGCTTCTCTCCTTGACCTTCCTGGCCATGTTCAGAGGCACAGCCATAGCAGGAGCTCTGTGGTATAACTGCTTTGTGCAGCTCTCGCTGGCAAAGGGATGGACTAAGAGTTGGTACCTGTTGCTCTTTTCTTTCTCACCTTACCAGCCCCCTTCTAGATTGAATCAAAGCAATTTCTTCTCTCCCTCACATTCCACAACACCTCTGTCATTTTCTCTCACTAAAGCAAGAAACATTTCCATTAAGCCTTCCTGGAGTCCCGCTCTTGCCTCGTGGCTAACTGGAGGTGCTTGAGAAGTTCTCTCTGCGTGACAGTCAAAGGGAGTGCAGGGATGGTAGAACAGGGGCTGCAGAACAGCTCTGTAAACTATACCATTCCCCCCACAAATGGAAGCATGACCCCACTTCCAGTGCTATTGCCTTGCTCTGATCCCCACCCTTGCAGCAGCAGCTTCTCCCTGTCCCACACAGCCTGCTTCTGGCAGCAGGACTGCACATTTGTGGCACACCGCTGCACATCTGCACTCACAACAGGTCTGAGAAAACAGTTTCTGTCTCAGCAGTATCTGCTTAGAGGGAAAAGAGATCTCCCATCCTTGCTGATCAGGAGGCAGGATCACCTCTGGCAGACTGTACCTGCAGTACAGTACCAGACCACCTGGGGACACAGTACCTGCTGCAGCAGGGTCTGCTTGCACTGGTGCCTCTGTGGTTGCCCCTCTTTGCAGGGCACAGCTTGGAACTTGCCTCTGTGTGCCACAGCCAGAGCAGGGGTGAAGGAGTTCACTTTGCGCTCTCTTGTCTCTGCCTTTCTCAGACTTTCTGGTGCCTGGTTGAACAGGGAGGGAGAAAAAGTCGCTGCTGAGAACAGGATCTGCTGAGGTGCCTGGGTTACGCAAGGGAGGGGAAAGGATGCTTTCTCTGCATGCACAATCAGGCCTGGCATCACTTGGCCTCAAAGTGGAGTTGTTGAGTTAGTGAAATTTCCTTCAGACACTAGAGCAGGAAAGGCAGAAACAGTTAACTGGTTTCTCTTCTCATCAGTCTGTCATCAAGATTTGTGGCAAGGAGTAAACCGTTTGGATTTCAGCAAAACACTGCACTAGTGCTGTATTTGAGAACAGATCCTAGACACTGTTTCTCTTAAATTCTTGGCACCACACAAAGCTAATTGCTCTGATCCCACAGACTTCAGGGTTCTTTTTCTACAGGTAGTAAGTGTGCTACCTTTCCAATTTTCTAATGTCAGAAAACCGAAAAGCAGCTTCAAATTAAAACATTACAAGCTCTTTTTAGCGCTGCTCTCACCCTGTAACGTATCCTCAATGAATCTTGGCTATTTGAGTCTTCCCCTAAACATATCCAGCTTGTTCTCATCTCTGTGCAGTCTTCACATGAGAATCATACATTTCTCATGCACTCAGCACAGTGTACATGTGCAGTGTTTTCAGGTGTTAGTGCCAACGTTATCCTCAGATAATGTGCACTGAACAAGCTGACACATTCATACCTGATGTGAGTCCACTGAACCCAGCACTGTTTCACCACCAAATGCTTTGGTCAGTTCTGTTAAGTACTACCACTGGTGCCACTGCTCTAATCAACTGATGTCCGATTCACCAAGAAATGCATGTCACCATTGCTAATGTGGATTGCACACCAATTTTAACCATGTTCTTAAAGTAACAGCATTAGGTCTGCAATTACAATGCAGTACCCCTAGGGAGCTGGTGCAAGTATGTGCTGAACACTCATTAAGGGATCTTTCTTGTCTGTGCCCATAAGACTTTCCCCGTTTTGGAGACATACAAAGGCAAGTTTAGCTACAGACTGCTTCATAACAACTTCTTCACCTGATAATCTTGAGAAGGTCTTGGTCAGTTCCTAGGGGACAGGTGCTGAAACACAGCTTGGCATTACTGTGGAAATCTAAGGCATTAATGAAGAGGAAACTACCTTCTTACCCCTGCTGCCTGGGTCCCTTCAGGTCAGAGCTGATACTCATCAATACTGTAGAGCAGAGACATAAGCACTACATCCTCTGTGGGGAAGTACAGGACTTAACTTCCCAGTTTGTGAAGTATTAGTCTGAACTATTAGCCAATCTTCAAATTTTAATTATAAGCCAGGAAGGCATAAAAAACCCCAAATCAAACAAAACCCCACCACAAAGAACATTGTTTCATGCAGGTACCTGCTATGGTAGGCTGCTCTTCATGTCTGATTAGACTTTTTTCTATGAATTAATTGCTTGAAGAAGGAATTTAGGTGAACAAAACATTTAGAAATTGTAGACTCCTGAATGTCACTGCTGCTTGTTATTTTACACAGCAATTTAAATGTGTAGCTGTACACAGACACAACCGAACTCTTGTATTGCACCCTTAAAATACCAATTCACCCTGGTGCATCACATTGCTCTAACTTTTCCCCGACTCATTCTGCCTGTCCTTGGGATCGCTGTAGGTCACTCTGAGGCTGGAGATGTTAAGCGAGGGAGCAAGCCATGATGTTTGCCCACCCAAGCTGTGCTGGGCTGGCAGCTCTTCCTACTGAAGGCCAGTCTTTACCTGCAGAAGTGGTGCTGCACGAGCAGTTCCCTGTGGTCCTATATGCCAAGGTGTCTCACTGACAGCCTCAGACAGTCCCCTCCGGGAGGTGAAACCTGCTCATTCCCTTGTCTCAGCTGACACACTGATGCTGATGTGATGCTCATGTGGCATCTGCACATTCTGAGCTGTGGATACGTGCATGCTGGCAATGGTGCCTCACAGGTATTCACACCCAAGCCTGAAACATCCTTTCCTTCCCCATTTGGGGTCTCTCTTGCTTTTCTCATCTCTAGCATCTCTATATCGTCTTTGTCCCCTTTCTAACTAGGAGATTTCACGGAATGTTATGCAGGCTGGAGGCTGGTGCCTGTGAGCTGGGACTTTCTTCTGAGCCCTGTACCTGCACTCAGGGATCTCAGTGTCAGTATTGCCATTGCCCTTGCAGGGCACTGACCCCAACACCGGACTTTCTAGGTACTGTCCTGCTCCATCAGCTGTAGACAGCCCCCTGAGTAAGACAAAACTGTCTGCTAACCTCTTGATAGCATGCTCCTTCCCCAGCCTAGTTCCTCACTGGTGCCATGCTGCTCCTAAAGCCAACCTTGCCCCAGATTTGCACTACAAAACCTCCTCATCTACATTTCTCATTACAGCCAGCCCGGCCCGCGATCGACAGGGGACAGACCCGGCTGTCCTCGTACCGCTCTGCCTTCACATCGCCAAGCTGATAACGGCCGGAACTTCACGACAGGCTGAGACTTTGTATGTCAAGTTCAAAGTCAGAGCGCCCGAGGCCGGGTGAGAAAGCGGCTGCAGCGGTGCGAGGGCAGGCGGGGACAAACCCCTGCAAGCGACCAAAAAGCACGGGCAGCGGCGTGTCGGGCGGAGAAGGCGCTGTCTGCGAAACACCCGCGCTCAGCCCCACCGAGAACCCGCTGCCGGGGACACCGCAGGGCGCCCATCCCGCACCGCGCCGCGCCGCAGGCAGCCGGGCAGAGGACGCTCCTGCGGGCGCTACCGGCAGCTCTGCGGGAGCCTCTCCCGGCCGCGGCAGCTCCCGGGGCAGCCCGGGCACGGCGGCGCGTCCCCGCCCGGCACTCACCCGGCAGCCCGAGGCACAGCAGCAGGCTGTAGTAGACGACAGGTGCGTACCCCAGGCCGCAGCCATAGCGGTGGTGCGCCAGGAGGGAGCCGTTGTGCAGGTGGACGTGGTTGTGCTCCATGGACCCGCTCTCCCCGCGGCCGCGCTGCCGGCGCCCGCCCCTCGCGCGCTCAGCGGCGGCGAGCTCAGCGCGGCACGCGGCGGCGCGGGGCGGGGCGGGGCCAGGCCGGCCGGCTCCCGGCGGCGGGGCGGGGCGGGGCGGGCAGCCCCCGCCTCAGGCAGCCCCCGCCTCGCACCGCCCCACCGCAGCCCTCCCTGCCGCTCTCCCGGCTCACTCCAGCCCCGGCTGCCGGCGCTGCCTCAGGCCGTTCCCGACTCAGGGTAGCCCCCGCCTGAGGGCAGCCTCGGCTGCCGCCGTCGTTCGAGTGATGGAGTCTGGGACCCTCCGCTCGGCAGAGGCAGGTCTGCGGCCGAGGAGGAGGGGTAGCCCGGCGGAGCAGGGTCTGAGGAGCATCCTGGGGGCACTGCCTCGGGGCTACACCTTGGCTTCCCCGGGACGCTCTTCCCTCTGCCCGGGGCAGCACGGTTGTGCCCGGCTCTGAGCCCCGCTGCCGCCCCGGCTGTGGAGCCGGACCGGCCGGTGGTGAGAGTGAACCTCCCCGGATGCGGCCGGCCCTACAGCGAAGAGCAGCGAGGGAATCCCTCAAGCTGGCACACAAGTCAGTAAGGTGGGGAGAGAGGCGGGCAGGGTTTATCAGCGGTGTGGAGCTGCCTGACAGCCCGGGCTGCGCTTCTAAACGGTCTGTGAAGGAAGTAGTAAATCCAGAACTGAGCATTTATAGCCGCAAAACTGACACGCAGACCTGGGGTTAATTACACTGTCCCTCTTCTCCCCACAGAGACATGGCCAGCAGTGAAATACACCGTGCTCCCCCCCACCCAGGAACCACAGGTGTGTGTACGGTTCCTGTGAGGTAAAGCAGAAGGGAAATCAGGGTGTCTAAAATCGTTTCCATGCTTTCCTTAGCACTTGTGTGTTTCAGTACATAGTCCTGTGTGTAAGTAGCAAAGAGTAGAGTTACACTCATTACATAAAGGGGGTAGAGCCCTATGTTTTATGCTGCCTACCAGTGGGCTGGACACTGATGTGTTGAGGAGGTTACAGTTTAGTGATAAAATAGATGTTTGATTACACTTTTGCTGAGCAGAAAACATGACCTTTTGTCACCCAGTGTGTAGGGTTGAGTCCCGCAGCTTGGTATTGCGCATGGAAAGCATTCCCTGGGTTGCTGCCAGAGCAGGGCAAGGGGATTTATGTGCACAATACCTTTGAAGTTGGTCACTGAGACATGTCTGTTGGGATGCTCGCAAGGTACAGTGGGTGGGTTATAAAGCTAAATAAAGATGTAGTCTCTTGCTGTCTGAAAACACCCAACATAACAATAATACAGCATGAAATACGTGCTACAGGTGGGAAGGCACTAGTAGGGCAAGTGCTGTAGCACTCCGTCAGGTGACTAAGCAATGACATGTATATCTTTGGGTTTCCATGAGCCTGTTTGAAGTTGTTGAAATGTAGTTTAGCTTCTGTTTAGAAGCATAGCAAGGAGCAAGCAAGCCTCTGGTCCTGCAAGGGCTTGGGCAGGTTACTTTGCTGGGAGACTCAGTGAGCTTATTCATGTGCTTTTTAACAGAAGAGGTCTTTTTGAGCTGTACTGAAACCAGTTAAGTTTCCCAGGTTAAACATGCTGGAAAAAACATATTTTTCCTCTTCTTATTCAGTTGGAGTCTTTGTGAATGTAGCTTTAAACATGGTTACAATCTGCTAGTATGGCCTTTATGTGTTCTTAAAATGAAGCCTTTTGAATCTGTTAATTCAAATGATCAACAAATTGTATAAAGTGGTGTGGGGTGGCTGTGGTTATACAGTACAAGGCCTTGTGAATTCAGCTCTGCCTGGGTGGCTTGTTTTTTTATAGACAGTTAACTTACAGGGTTTTCTTATTATTTTAAAAAGTGTAATTTCTCATGTTCCTCTATCAGACCTGGTGAGGAAAGAGAATTCTTGTTGCCTCCCAAAAGGCAAGTGGTGATTGCTAAAACTTTTTCTTGGGTGAAGTGCATCAGCAGGGTTGAAAGCGTGACCCCCTGTTTCAGTTATGTGAAGTTTACCGGTAAAGCAGCCCACAAAAGCAGAGGGCAGTGAAGCAGTAGTCAGCAAGCTCTGGTTAAAAAGCCTCACATCCCGTTTGCAGTGCCCTGGGTCTCTCAACTTCCCAATTAACAGCAGTGAAATCCAGCAGAGGCTGGAGACTAAGGAAGCGCCTCTGCTATCCATTTTTTGTTGTGCTGCTGCCACAGTTCTGTCTGGCCTAGTTTTAAACATCCTGAGCAATAGGAGTTCCCTGAAGAGGTTCCTGTAACTAGCATTTGTTTCTTTGGTGTTAGACTTGTCTCCAGGGTGCTGTTCAGGTAGCTGCTCATGTGCTGAGAGGAGATTTTGGTTATAAGAGAGAGAATCTTCTGCTATCTTCCCACCTTGAGCTCTCACTAGAGCTTTGCAGCTGCAATCTGATATGTTCCCATTGTATGAAGGGAAAAACTGGAAAATTTGGGTATGTTCTCTGACACTTCCTCTGGCCTGGCCTGCCCTGCAAATGGAGAGGCCAGAGAAAATGAATCTGCTCCTGGTACCTCAGTTAGCTTGACTCAAGTTTGAGGAACTTTTCTGCTTGCTGCACTGAGAGATTCTAAGAACAGGATGGACCAGATTTTGAGGCCTGATTTGCTTTTGTTTCACTGAAGACAAGTTAACAGAATACATTATAATATATAAGAAATAAAGGCTCAAAGATTGCTCATCTGTTCAGTGTGTAAAAGGCTATTTGAGAACATTCTGTCCTTCAGATAACTTCAGATGAGTTTCTGGCTTCAATGAAATGAATTTGGTTATTCTGCTTTCTGAATTGTGTGGTAACAGTACCTTGGACACAAAGAAATTTCAATAAAGCCAATCCAAACCTAACCACAGTGTTTGCTTCTCCTTGAAGTTGTTTATCTTTAAACTTCTTGTTGTTTTCTAGCTACTTTCTGAAGGGATGACATTTACATGTAACATCAGGCCCTCAGTGAGAAGAGCACTGTGTTCTGCTTGTGAATTAACAGTGAAGGCAGAATTCCTCTGGAGCTTTAAGGAGGATGGTTTCTGAATCTCATCTCATAAACAGCTGTGTGCTCAGACAATGAATAATATTTAATTATTTTTTTTTTCCAAAGTGCTCTTTATTCTTTGTATGACATGCTACATAAGAGATGGGTGTACTTTGCTTTTAAAATTCTAGAGCTATTTGAACTTGGTTAGCTTTCTGTTTTTCATGGGAACTGAGCCTCCCTGTAAACTGCTAGGTAGTGGTCCTTGGGGAAGAAAGATCGAACAGTATGTTAGTCACAAACACGCCCCTCCACTCAAGCTGTGGAGGAAAGCAGGAGTTACTTCACGAGAAATGAGGCATTGACTCAAAGAGTCTGGAAGAACTAAATGTTGTGTTGTTTCAAGACACTGGCATGAGTAACATGCCTGGAAGGTAGCAAGGGTGAAACTGGAACACAAATGCGTGGAGTCTGTACAAGGGATTAGGAGAGGCATTGTGAGGATAGAGGAGTCTTTCAAAGGAAGAAGTATAATTTGGACAAAAAAAGGGGGCCAACGGTTATAAGAGGAAGGGACATTGGCAACAGAACTGGTTTACCTGATCAAAGTTGTCTTACTTGTGTAGCAGTGCTGCATGAATTCGTTTCAGAGCTGCTACAGAGAAAATGATAGCTGTATGAATGACAAGTCTTAGATTATACTTTATTAGATGCTTGTATATAATTTTGCTGCAATGAAACCCTTCTCTTCAAAGCAATATTTTTATCTTTACTTACTGTTAGCCTCCAGAATAATTGAGTCAAATTCTACTCCTGAGTTGAAGGACTGTCTTTGTCAATACCGTTCTCCAGGTCTCTTCAGGCTTGGAAGGGGAGAAAGACCTTCCTGTGTTCTCATAAAAGCTGTTAAGAAGAAAATGTGATTATGAAAGTTCTTTACTGGAGCCTCCTCAGTGCCTTTGAATAGGCAGGCTCCAGTTTTACAAGAGAACACTGAAGATTTATTCATTCTTAAGGTGAAAAATTTTTCTTGTGCTGGTGGTGATTGCTGGAGAAGGCTGCAGAGCCAGAATACTGATGCATAAAGGCTTCTCCTGCTTGTGCTGTGGGTTCATGGCCTGCACCCTCAGGCTCCCCACCCCTGTAGACTCTGCTTCACCTCCTCTTCCTGTGGGCTTACATCTCTCTGGAGACCTCACGAAGGTTACATCAGGTCTCAAACTGTGGCTGTAATGGAGATTTGCCTATTTGAACCATCTGAAAACGTGTTTAAAGCTATTAAACACCTATGTTTTTCCTCCTAAAATTGTTTATCCCCTGAACTCCCTTTTAGGTTTCAACTGACAAATCTCATTGTAATTCATTTGAGCACTATTGTGAGTATACTTTCCAAGGGAACAGAAAACAGATGTTATAAATGCCTGAACATGAGATTTAACTGAGCATCTGTTGTTTTAAAGAAGCATTGCAAAACAAAGGAAGGTAACTCTGTTTTGTTTGCATTTAACCAGTAGGTGATACACCTGACTTTCCATAGTAGTCTTTTCAGGTTACAGTGAAAACATGGGGCAGAAATGTGGGCTGAGATAAACTCACTTCACCTGTCCAGTTTGCAGTGGTTATGGCAAATTAATACTATTTTTGCAACCATCAACATATAGATGGTGTTTCAGGTAAAATTAATTAATTATAATACAAATAAAATGCTTTCTGCAGGATAAGGAAGTGAAAAGTATCCGTCAGAGTTTGCATGGTGTTTAACTGTAGTGTTAATGGGCTAATTAATATGTTTAGCATAAGGATATGCTTAAGTGCTTTGCTGGATTCAGGCATAAATAAATTAGGATTAAAATGTAACTACTTGACAAATTCTTGTAAAGACTGAGGCTAATCTATCCTCTCCCCAAGGTGAAAAGAAAGCACATGAGATTCATGTCACAGACACTCTGCGTCTCTTCTGCTGGGATTTTTTGAAAGTTGAATAATGAAGTACTGGAACATTGAAGTTTTTGCTTGGGCTGGAAATTCCACATGGTTTAACTGTAGAAAAGATAGAGTGTGCAAAGACCTAACAAATGGAGGTGAAACTTTCTTGTTCCATTACTGTGCAGAAATCAAGCCCAGCCTTTGAATGCCAAGAAAAAGAGTGAAAACAGATTAGATTATCTCTTATTTTAAAATCATTATAACAATCATCTGTACTAATTATTGCAAAAAAAGTTATTATTACAACGATGTATTCATACTCATCATGCTAAACCTCATTAGACCTCATTTCAAGATTAAGTCACAAAGTTACGTACTGTGTTCTGTAGTTTCCTATGTAAATGCCAAGTTTAGCTGGTTTGGTTAAATCCTCCTTTGCACATCTCAAGATAAAGCTATGTGATTTTCATTTAGATTTGGAGCTTGAGACTTCAAGAAAAAAAATACAATCCTTCCCCATATGTACTTGTTGATGCCTTCGCATTACTGGAACATAATAAGCACCAGCAAAATCAATGCACCTCTTCATGAGAGCTGGGAATGGTTTCTGTATGGAGCAGTCGTCACTGGCTGGTAACGAGGCTCCTATAGAGAGTGTCTTGTCAGGAGTGGTGTTTCTGGCATTGGTGTGCTTGTCACGGGTGTGCGCAGCGGCAATCCCTGCAGCTGCAGTAGCTGAGTGCTGGAGGCAGCTTCTCCACTGACTTGTATGTGGCTTATTACTGACAGCCTCATAGAGTTGAAGGAGGGTCTTGCAGCATCATCTTTATTTTCTGTGGGGAGGGGCAGGAGGCACGAAAGAGTGTGGCTCTGTGAACAAAAGGCTGATGCAGACTCT